GTGTGTGCGTGTGTGCGTGCGTGTGTGCGCGTGTGTGTGCGCGCGTGTGTGTGCGTGTGTGTACTCAGTAGCTCAGATATAGTGAACATATCAAGTCTGTGTCGTGATCTTCAACCATATCAATCATAAACGTTTCGAAATGGTTTTTCGCCATTATGACGAATACTCTTTAATTCAACATTATAAGAATTAAGTAGTGTCTCAAATGCTACTGAGAGCATCCCAAGAACACTCGAGCTCTCATACGCTCACGTGGTTGATAACAGGAATCACACAACAATGAACAATAAAATTTTTTCATCATTTACTCAATGCCATTCCAAACCGTGTGATACTATAGAAAATGTTCACACTGCTTTTTTTTTTTTTCCATTCAGTGAAAACATTAAAGGCTTTCAAGCTGTGAAATGGACTAAAAAGCATCATAAATGTACCATAAATCATCATAAAAGTAGTCCATGCGACTCATTCATTACTGTAGTTTTATGTCAGGAACAGACTGAAAGTGGAATGACATGATGAGTAATTGACAGATTTAAGTGAACTGTTCCATTAATGTGCTGTAAATATCATGTAATAAATGTGGTGTCCAGGTTTACAGTAAATCTAAGAAACAAAGACCCGCCCCTTTATTAGATTCAGTCAGATTTGTGCATGTTGGCACAGTTGTATGCTACATATAAGCTTAAGTTATCACAGCCAATATGGGCTAAAAACAAAAGCAGTGATAATATATTGATAATGTGAATGAGATTATGATGTTACATTTAGAAGAATTAATGATGTAACGCGTGACTGATGTCTAGACATGGTGCAAATAAATGGTAGTGCAGTGTGAAGAGCCACAGAACAAAGAGCCATTGTGTTTGGTTGTGCTCTGAAACACTTCAAACCACGCTTGGATGTGCCGGAGACTTGACTGGCATGTAATATTTATGCTTGTCTGAATATTTATTGTGAGAGTGAGTACGCCTGTGTCAAAGAAGGTCAAATGAGACCGAACAAAGATATAAAAACATTGGCTGTTTGAAACATTGAACACCAAGAATGAATGGTGTTTAGTGTCAGATATCAACCGTGCAAAATTAACAGCCAGCACAAATGTGGCCAGTGGCGCTGTAGAGAATTCGGTAGTTGTTGTATTGCCTGCTAAAACCAATATTAATGTGTGTGGGTGTTTATGTTGGGGACAATGTTGCATATTTTTTTAATTTATTTCTTGTGATGGGACACATTATGCTTCTCTAGCAACCAATTAATAATAAAAAATAGAGGTGCCAGGAAGACCAAGAGAAGGGGAATTATTAACAAACATTTATATACATTGTCAAAAAGTAATAAGCATGTATTTCTTGTTGACCTTAAACTTTATACCATTAAATTGTGTCCTGCCTCATATTTTATATATATATATATATACTGTATATATTTGAGTGGATATGTGTGATGCAGCGAGGATGTAATGTAGAGGAGTTGTCAATTTCAAGAGGTGTGAAGAGTTTACTTATTAGGATGCTTGAGTGAAGTAGGATCCGTAGAAATGCTTCAGAGGTTGATGGGTTTTAATATGAGCCCTGTTGCAGTCTCAGCACTAATTACATGATGTATGTTTCCTGAAGCTGAAATCTGCACTGCAGTCTGATCCTAAATAGTTTCTAGCATTCTGGTGAATCTCATGGAACCTGTCAATAACATATTCAGGTCATATTTCACACTAAAATTAAAAGAAAATATGAAAATCATATTTTGCATCAAGAAAGCCTATTTCTAAAAACATTTTGCACTGTAACAATTTTCTTCACAATTAAGCACAATTCCCCAAATTGCCATTATTTTAATTTAGGAAACAATCTTATTCTCATAATCATAATGCAAGAAAAAAAATCTCATTCTCATTACTGTAATGCAGAAAAAAAATCTAATTCTCATTACCATAATATCGGGAAAAAATATTCATTACCATAATGCAGGAAAGAATACTACTAACATTACTATAATGCAAGAAATAAAATTTCATTCCGATTATTGTAATGCAGGAAGAAAACTCATTCTCATTACCATAATGCAAGAAAAAAATTATTACTCTCATTTCCACAATGCAAAAAAAAAATTTATTCACATTATTGCAAGAAAAAAAATCTCATTCTCATTACTGTAATGCAGAAAAAAAAATCTAATTCTCATTACCATAATATCAGGGGGAAAATCTTCTTTACTATAATGCAAGAAAAAATGTCTTGCTCTCATTGCCACAATACAAAAAAAAAAAATAAAAAACCTATACACAGTAATGCAAGAAAAAAAATCTCATTCTCATTACCATAACAAAAAAATCTAACTCTCATTACTGCAATGCAAAAAAAAAAAAAAATATTTACATTAATGTAAGAAAAAAAATCTCACTCATTACCATAGCGCAAAAAAAAAAAATCTTACTCTCATTACCACAATACAAAAAAAGAAAAATGTAAATGAAAAAAATAATGACAAAAATCTCTTTCTTACTACCACAATGCAAGGAAAACAATTCGCACTGTCATTACCATTATGTTGGTTGTTCTACTTTAAATATTGACACTATTTTAAATATTCTCATTATCACCCGATTGATAAATTGATCAATATGATCGATTTTTATTACTGTGATACAGTCATTTGTTGCTACATTAAATGCTGTTAAAAAAAATCACCCTAAATTTAAACCACCCTACCTTGAATTTGTGTAAATGCTTTACAATTAAAATTGAATTTCACATTACAGTACTGGCAATTGGGGGGGAAATGTGCTTCATTGTCATGATTTAGTCCAAAATATAGGCTTAATCTTCTTTAACCAAAATATAATTTGTAATTTCTTTCTGTATTTGTTGGTGAAATATGAGCAGGATAGGCTATAAAACACTGTCAAACTCTGTCCAGTCTAAAGTGACATCTCCACTCCCTGTGTGTTTAGCATTCTTTCATAGTCTGCCAGTGTGCTTAAAGAAAAGTGTATTTTAACTATATAACTCATTTGGTCTTCCTGTTGAGCATGTGTCCACATTCATATGTGTTGGAAAGAGTGTGGGAGTTTGCTGTGAATCATTTGAAATATCTTGCCATTTCTTGACAACTGCCTTTAAGCACCTGCCTGCCATTTTATTTTTGTGATACATGTTAATGTACCTTTCACTGTTTAGATCATCATTAAAATTAAATAAAAAGCTCTCCTTTCCCCTTATTGAAAGCAGCAATAGAACAGATTTTTCAATATTGTGCAGATCTCACATTATTCATGTTACAATCAAAGGATAAATGTGCGTATCTGTGCTGAAATGAAAAAGTAACAAGTAATTTCTTTCTACAAAGTCACCAATTTTACCAGCTTGCTCTGATTTTCTTTCAGCTAAGTGCCTACAGGCAATCAAACCAAATGCAGAAAGGAAATGCATTTTGTGTAGTAAAAACTGTCTTTTTTAAGCTGCATGTTCTGTTTGAGGTGTGAGAGACTCAAAAACACTTTTACTTCTTATATATGAATAATGTTTTTAAAAAAATTCAGGAAAATAGGTTAATTTTGAATGTATTTTTAAACCTACAGCACTGGCATCTCTGGGACCCCAAACATAAAGACACTAAAGTTTGCATTAACATTTAAATGCATGGATGTTTTGTCAGTCATTATTACATATTCAGGTCTTTAGCAGCCCAGAATCTATATCTAACAGATACTGCAGATCTCTGAAGTGCCCCAATATTATAAAACAGAGATTTTAATGACAATTATAAAGTAAAAAATAAAGCATATTTTGTTTTGTTATCCGACAGCTTCGTTTTTTGATTACAAACTTAACTGAGTAATTCGCTGATCCATGAAAAAATTTGCTGATAATACTTGTATGTTCTTGTTTTATGCCTGCAGTAATATTTTTTTGAGTGGCATCATGCCATCATTGTTTCATTGTTTATGAGACATTGCCTCCTCCATACACACACATATATATATATATATATATATATATAT